AATTACTTTATCGGAATTTTTTTCATTGATTTAATATTTTAATTTAAATCCTCATTACGCTATGCATAGATTTTGTTTCATTTCTAAAAGGTCAGATTTGGAGAGAGTTTCAAAATATTAAAAAGCTCGTAATTTTCTGAAAAAAGTATGATTTTGAAAAAGGAATGCATAGCTATGTTTCGAACGTTGGCTTTAATCGAAATCCGTCAAAAAAGGCTGGATTTAAGGAAAAACCGCGTTTCCTTTAGCATTTAAAGAAACCGGAAGTTCGCCCGATATTTATTGGAAGTTGCCCTATCAGCGCGTGCGCAATTTACACTACCAGCACACTTCGGTAAGATCAAACAAAGCCACATGGAGTTAGTTTAGCTCTTGTTTTTCTGTCTTTCTCTTATTTTGTCTGTGCTTGTACTTTTTATACTTTGCATTTTGTGAAACACAAAGAAAACATCTAACGTGTGAGCGAATTTGGAAGTTATTGCGTTATATTTATTTTCTGCGCTCAGGCTGACGTAGGTAACCGGAAATGAAATTTCACCTCCTTAGCAACGCGCGCGAGCGCGCGCATAAATCAGTTAATGGGACCTTAAGCTCTCAGAAAATATATACTTTACTGGGGTTTGTATCAAATATCCCACCGTAAAACGGCGCCAACGAATGATGGTCATTTGGGGTATACTGATACCTTAAAGCTCTAATTCTGTGAATTTCAAGCGTTGCTTCCTCTTGACGATTTTATCATTATGGACGGCTCAAAAATGTTCTTAAAGGCGCTTTTGCTCAAGCCGTTTGCTAAATAACTGGGAAGATCTCGTTTATTTATACTTGATATACTCTAAATATCTCGTATATTGATTTTTAGCCAGACGTTTGACGCCGCTTTCTTCTTGAATCTAATAGATGCGACTGAACTGGATCGATACGAAATGGGTGGAGCTCCACGTGGAATTTGCCTTGTAATAAACAATTTCAACTTTTCAGGGGAAGAGGAACGTCAGGGTTCCAAATCAGACGAAGAGGCGATTGCACGTCTCTTCAATGAACTCCACTTCATAGTGGAAATCAGACAGAATCTTGGGGGCCTGGAAATTCAGAAAGTAGCCCAAGAAATGGCAGCGAGAGATCACAGCAATTATGGGGCATTTGTGCTTTGCATTATGTCGCATGGCGATAGAAAGGATGTCATTTACGGCGTGGACAACAGAAAGGCTGGAATGGAAGATTTAATGTCTGAGTTCACGCCGACCAATTGCCCAACACTTGAAAACAAACCCAAACTGTTTTTCATTCAAGCATGTAGGGGGAACAAAAGCGATCCAAGAATGAATCGGCTAACTGAATCAACTGAAAACATTGCGGACGACGGTATCCAGACAATGAATTCCCCCGATGCTGACCTCGCAAACGGTCTTTCTGCTCGAGAGGCTGACTTCCTTCTGGCATTCGCTACTGTACCAGGATACAAAGCTTGGCGAAGTAAACAAGCTGGATCCTGGTTCATTCAAGTATGTACCAATAATATGTGTTTGTGCGGGTGAAATCTTAAAAATTTAATGACTGGTTCCCAGGGAGTATTAGTGCGGAATTCAGTCTTTGTCGAACAAACAAAAATTTGCTGATTTCTCCAGGGACTTGTACCTATATCCCTGCCCACCTACCTGACTACTGACTGACGGACGGACGGAGAGACTGACTGACGAACTGATTAAATGTCATGCGACCATGCATGAAGTCGACAATAAATGTGCACGATTCCTCAGATAAAGAAGTGCTTTTCAGTAATATTTAGTTCTGTTTTAATGTTATTAGGTATTGGTGGATGTTATCCGAACGTACCATCGTCGTCACCACTTATTGGATATGCTGACGGAAGTAAACAAACAGGTTGCAGACATAGCAAATAAATATCCTGACGTTGACCTCTCATTTCAAGTTCCAGCTCCTACTCACACTCTGAGAGCTCAAGTGTTCCTGTAGAGGCCTATCGAGAGTCAACAATACAGACAACAGGAAAGAAACTATACCCATCTCAAACTGTCCTGATCCGTGTATAATGGTAGTAGACCCATTGAGTGGTACACAAATAAATTTAAGGTAAATGTGAAAATGCTATTCCTTTGCAATTTGGTGAATGCTACTAAAAATTATTCTGCTCAATGATAATAAGCTTTTTTTATCCATCTTTAAAAGAAACATATACATCTTGCAGGATATCATCGAGATTGCCAGTTCAACTCACTAGCCTGTAAAATCTCGTCGAATTCGAAATTGTTAGGTATTCAGCAATTTTTCAAGATATATTGATCATCATAGCTTGGTCAGGCGAAATATCTGTATACTCTGCAAATAGTCCTGCAATTACTTTTTTGTGAATATGATTAACTTTTGTAATAGCAGTGATTACGCTATCGAACTGGATTGTAGCTAGTGATAAGGTTTAGTATTGTTGTAATACGAGGCTTGAATACTGCGTATGCTGCTTTGATTTGTGAAAGATTATCAAACTGGACTGCACAATAATATTTTAATGAGGTAGAAAAATAATAGTATCCTAATAGGGAAAAACGACCGAATCGAAATGCCTCGATTGTACGTACTACACTCTTGACAAATGATATAAAGCTTTAGTAATCCTCCGTAGCAAAAAAAGATGGCGACTGGTACCTGTGCCCATAATTCGTAGCGTAGGAGAACGTTAACAACGCTCATAAAAGTGTACATAAAAGTTCTTAAGGTGATTCCCTAGTAAAAGAACCCGCAATAGATTTCCGATGAAACTTGGTATGCTGTTGTTACAGGACAAGGAGATACTAAAAACGTAGTAAAATGAGGGGGTCACCGTGCTTGTTTTCACGCCACAATGCTGACAAACACGGTTATTTAGGTGACTTTTTTTTTTGATAATCTCCGTGCGCAACAAATAAGCTCGATTATTGTTCAATGCAGCGTGTTATATCACACAGAGTTTGACTTTCTTTGATTGTTTATTCATCTACGTCCCCAAAAAAATGTCTTCAAATACCCTGCATTTTTTTATCCTTTAAAGGAAACATAATTTGGACATGCGCTGTTGGGCCCGTTATATCTCCCTCTTTAGTATTTATTTCATTTGCCAAAAAAGGAGCCATAGATTTCTGCTAATTTTTTTCTCCCTTATCGAGGATATTAATCTCATTGAAATTATGAAATAAAAAGTGGGGGTCACCGTGATCGTTTAAGAGAAAAGGAGCATTTATTTTGCTATCGAGCTTAGTTTGAGGGAAATCTCTTATTTTGTGTACGCGCGCGCGCTCATGTGCGCGCGCTAATGACGCGAAAATCGTGCGCAGTAGGAATGCGCAATGCAATACTAAGGAGTCACCTTAAATCTTCAAACCTAACAGGGACAAGCATTGCAAAAATATGGCTTTCCTTCAACTTAATGGGCTGTGTAGTGCTCGCATGGAATTGTGGTAAAATGTACAGCCGCCATCTCTTTTTTTTTTTTTTCGTACGGAGGGCATGGTCACAGTGTTTTTTTAAGCTAGTTATACCAAATGCGATAGTACAAAATTTTCGGTAAGTGTAGAATACCATAAATGATAATAAATATTAAGAAGGAAATTTCAATTTTTTTTTTCCAATGCAGGTTTATCGCTCAGTTTTGAGCGCGACAAGGTCTCACTAAAAGAACTAAAGTGATAAATTTAAGTTCGTGTCGTGTTATAGGGTGTGTGTGTGCCAGGTTCGCGATTGGCTTTCTCTTCTTCACAGGCTACCTAGATTATCATTATCGGCTTCCACCTGCTCGCGCTTGTACGCGAACTTCAACAGAGGTCTCTATTGAGGAGAAAGAAGTTAATTTTTTCACGATGTTATTGAATGTGCATGGAAGACACATTTTTTTCAATTAGTGTGTTAGCGCCAATAAGGCGTTCATTGGTTTTGCTTACCCTTAAAACGGAAAAACCGTGTCCTCCGTGGGTTTTCAGTAACTTGTATAACTATGAAACCATGGATACCTTTCGTCTGTTGAATTTACTCAACACGAGTTGGTTTTCGCGTTTGAGAATACTGTCCACTTTATCACCATGTTTGCTTATTATTAGTTATTTCATTTTTGAACAATGGGTAGTAGAGGTACAGTGTATAGTATAGGTACTTTATTAGAACCTATGTCATTCTTGCCGACGTAGTTTTCCAGTTAAGGTAGAATTTCTACCTTAATGTTCAGCAAAGTTCTGATGAAATATTCAATGCCGGAAATTGATATCTTATTATTTTGCTACGGTATGGTTTTTTTCAGCATGTATATGTACTAAGTTCACAACATTACAGCTTGTTCTAAGTTCACAAAGTTCTACGAATTCTTAACTTTGTACCTAATTGTACCCATTTATCGTACAATTGAAGTTAATATCTCAGTTTATATATATTTTTGTCTTTTTGAATAGCGAACCATCTTTCAGGGGTATTTCTTATCATATATTTTTTTAATGTCGTTTATCTTGTAATTTCTAAGACAGAGGACCAATAGTTCATGAGTGTCTAATGTTATGTACCACCCCTTTTAATCAATAAAGTTGAACTCTGCCACTTCTTGTTTTCAGTAGTTTAATCAGTTAACCTTACTTAACGGTAATTTGTGTGCCAACGGAGATTGACATTTGAAGTGTACAGACGACGATTGTGGGGTAGAACCGTCAAATTAAGTCGGAATACGTATAACAAACAAAATCACTTTTCAATCGTCTATTTAAAAAGCAAAAACGCGCGCCAAAGTGCTTCAGCATGGCCTGTTCTTCATTTGCTGTATTATATGACTGAGAACTAGTTACTTCACTGTGATTGGCTGAAAACAGGCACATTTATCATTAATTTTTTATTTGCGCTGCAGTTCAAATTAACTTGCGTGCGTTCGTGTAAAACACGAGTAATCGAATGAAAGTAGGAGTAATTTTAGGGGATTTACGTTAAGACGGATATTTGAAAATGTTTCTTTCAAATTACATGCACTTGCCTGACTTGTATTTTTGAAAAAAATTAAACATCGCTTATAGCTAGAGGTATTTCAATAGGCTATCTCAGGTAGTTCTTTATTTTAGAACTATGAGTTTCTGAGCCTCAAATTGCTTAAGAATCAGTCTTTTATTAGCAAAATCTCGGCCACATATCAAAGAAGGAGGATTTTGGAGCATTATAACACTTTTATGCAAACTGGCGAGACCATGTTTTTCAAGCTTTAATGAAGTCCGTTGCTTCTGTGAGTGCTGAGACCTTCAGACTGAGACCGTAAGGTAACTCAACGCTAGAAAATTGGTGCTGACGTTCCCCATCCCAATCTTACTGACTAAGTATCAGTAACACAAAATAGAACATTTCTGTAACCAGCACCACAAAATATCTAATCATTCTCCAAGAACGTGAAAGGATAAACTTTGACTTTAATTTTACAACTGCTATCATATCTGCATGAGAAAAATAAGACATTTTACACTTGCTTTGCTGGTTATTGGTCTGATTTAAAGTCACTAAAAAGCTAGAGTATGCCAAGATTACCTTGAATAGAGCGTTTTACAATTGAGGGTCATAAAACCAAAACCAAAGTAATTAGACTATTCAACCAATCCCAAAACGTGGTAAAACCAAAACCAAAACCTGATTACTTGCCTGGTTACTTGCGACGCTCAACTGAAAATCGCTGTATACAGTTCTCTTAATAAAATGCTAATTGTGTTCCTATTTAGTCTTACACATTTAAAGATCAGTTAGAATGTATTATCTGTCATTAATGACATTGGCAAACTTGCTGGAAGCGCGGAGCACGGATGAAGTGACAAGGCTTTTTTGTACAAGACACAACTCTGTATTGAACTCCAGTTGCCATATCGCCGTGACATTCACACTGTGGATTGAAAACAGTCGTAGTTAGGTTATGTAACAAGAGTTTTCATTAGCTTAGCCACCATGATATATATGAGCCATTATACCATGTTTTACAAATACAGTAAGCGTACGCTGAATTTACGCAGGATCTTTATTTCCAAAGACTATTCCCATGGCAGGGCTTAAGGGAAAATTGATAACGACTGAAAAAATTAAGTCACTGGTCGATCATGTGGTAGATCTTGAAATTCCGATTGCTGTTAGGTTTTAAGGTGGCTCCCTATAGTTTTACGATTGCACGCGCGCTGAGGATGAAAGCTCAAGTAATCTGCGCGCACTCGTTGGAAAACGTCAGTGTTTTTGGATATTTTCTGACGTCAACATGAGCACAAAAAGCAAAACTGCCAGTGGATTTTCTCGCGTTTCCTTCGGTGAAATTCCGTAAAATTTGGCAGATTGGTAGTAAATATTTTACTTTAGTCGAACCTCGTTTTTCAGGGAAATCTATAAGACCAGATTTTTTTCCAGCGGTAAAAGACATAAATTTGAAAAAAATCGAAAAAAACTGCCATTACAAACCCTACTTTTTTCGTGTTTAAAATTCGTATCTCGCTGGAACCGATGTGTTGTAAAAATTTTGGAAGATTTTACCGAATAAAATTCAATAAAATCACAAATAAAGCCACACAAACAGTAAAAAACACATTTGTTTGGGCATTTATAATTCAAGACTAAAGCCCAAAATTTTCACAAAGATCATAGCAAAACACTATTTAATCATTGGCTATTACATGTAATAAGTTTGGAAGGACTGGGTGTGAAAGCGAATGTAAAAACAGCATTCAAAACATAACACTTGCGCGCGCAACGCCATAAATGATTACCCTGTGGAGCCACCTTAAAGAGTTATAATGTTTGTCTCTGCATATTTTATAACTGAATTTACTCTATATCTTGTTTTCCTTGTGGTAGAATTATATCACCAGTGATAAGTCCAGGGGCAGATTCAGGATTTTTCAAGGCATGGGAAGTGGGGATGGAAGGGTGGGGTGTAGCAGGTACCTTGGGGTTACAGACTCTATGGAATGTGCCCACAAAATGTTACAATTTGAGACCTGGAACCTAATTGAAAACTACTGCACTGATGGCATTAGCTAGATGGATACCGACATTTCTCAGTCACATTTGTCCTCAAATTAAAACTTACTGGGCGCCAAGCTGAGACGATCCAATAATATCGTCTCTCTGTATAAGGCAAAAAAACAAATAAATAAATAAATGATTTATATTTAATCTTGATTTATTGATAGTATGAGGCCAAAGATGAAATAAAGAACAGACAAGCATTCAGCCTAAAGTTTGTTCTTCGCTAGTGCATAAGTACCAGGCCTTGTTCACACTACGCCGGAAAAATTTGAAAACGCGGCTTTATTTCTACGGTTAGACCTTCTGTCCACACTAATCCGTCACGAAAACGGAGCTTTCCGAAAACACTTGTCAGACCGCAGGAATTTGAAAACGCCGGGTTTTCGTTTTAGTTTGGACGGAAAACATCTTAGAAACGGAGATTTCCGAAAACGATGAAGTCACAACAATCATGTGATTTCCCTGCTCCGAGGTTTGCTCAAACACAAATCTAAAATGGCCAGTGATTGTTGTGTTTTCAAATTTCTTCAGCGTAATGTGGATGGGGCCTAAGAAATATTGGGAGACGCAGTAAAATGTTATGATATTTATGATTAGCGCCCTTTGTTTGGTTAATTTCCTAACAAAAGCTAAGGTGCTCTTAACAGCACCTTCCCGCGTCTGCGTTTGTTTGTTATGCTTTATACCGTACTGAAAGCCCGCCTTAGCTATTGCATACTAAGGCCCGGTTCAGACGTCGCATTTCTGTCTTGTCGAATTCAATTAAACGAATTAAATTCGACGGACCAGAATTTCGTAGTCTGAATCGGCTGCCGCATTCTGCCGTACGTTCGACTGGTCTTGTCGCATTATCCGGCAGAAATATGTTGATGTATCGAGCATACGTAGATTTGGTCCCACCAAAGAAAAGGATGGAACTTGGCCATTCTCGTCCCAATGCAACCTGAACATATTGCAACACATACTGCTGCATTATCAGCCTTCTCCTTGTCGTTCCATTGATCGACAATTTTTCGCAGAATTAAAGTCCTTTTTCGCTCAGTATCTTTGTCCGCGATATTGAATACTCTACATTTAAAACACTTTCCGCTGACCGACATACCCGACAGTATTAATTCTGAATTAAGTGCGACTCAAGTGCGACGTATAAATCGACAGTCGCATTTCTGCCGCACTTAACTGGATTGAATTCAACACGGCAGAAGTGCGACGTGTGAACCAAGCCTCTAAGTCACATGAGCTGTTACTTTTTTTTCTTGCATTCTGTGGTTAACTGGATAACTACATGTCACTGTAGCTAGCTCAGTGTTAACCAGTTCGCGTTTACATCAGTCTTGCGTTTTGTTTTGTTTTTTTTTAACTAAGGGGGTTGCGTACTTCTGATTTTATAAAGAAGGAATAGATATGTCAATTGAGAAAAGGAATTTTTTTGCCGTATTTTTTTTTCTCAAGAAGCACTTTATTAAACTTATAACTTAGATAAGAACCATGTTCAGTACTAGCTAGGTATATTAGTCTAAGTAAAAAACAAAAATCAGTATTAGACTCGATCCTCGCAAGCCATACAGATGGCCAAACAATGTAGATCAATGGAAGCCCTTACTTTGTAAGTCAGCTTGATTACCTTCACCTTCGAAGTAATCAGTCATGTCTGAAAAAATGGAAAAAGCCAGAATTGTTATAAGTTCATCAACTCATTACTCCAAAACTTAAAGACGGATATTATTAGTTGCTGTTTGTGTTTCCCAGACTCCCTTTGAGAAACCCCAAGCATTTAATTCGCCATTTGGCACTATTTTTTTTTTCTTTAACTTTTTGTCAAAACTTTAATCTGTGACTTGCTTATACACACATATAAAGTGGGGGTTCTGGCACAGTGGGCAGCAAGAGGGCAAAAACCGTCCGAAAAAAGCCCCCCAGTTACTTCTCTTAAGGTAAAATTTTGAGGGAGCCTGGTCCCTTAGGGTCTGACGGCCAAGAGAGACTATGTTGTTAGGGACCGTTGTTAGGATAAATATGATACACAGCATGGGGACTGGGTGCGAAATTGGCATAAATCTTGGGAGGATCACGCTTGCGGTGATTTTGTTTTCCTGGAATTATTCAGTCGTCGAGAAGACGATCCGAGAGCCAGTCGATAACAACATATAACAGTGAAGGTAAGTAAAAATTCTAGAAGCTGAAAGTTAAAAATATGATTGCAAGTGCTACAGACAGAGAACACATGTTAGCTGAAATTTAGAGGGGGCTGCTTTCATCAGAGCGAAGCTCGGTGATTTCCGTTTCAGTCATTGATCGACATTGGCTTTAAGACAGTGTTAATGTACAGTTATTTATGAATGTTGCCAACTTTAAAGCTACTCTCATTGCAGATNGAAGCTCGGTGATTTCCGTTTCAGTCATTGATCGACATTGGCTTTAAGACAGTGTTAATGTACAGTTATTTATGAATGTTGCCAACTTTAAAGCTACTCTCATTGCAGATGTGTCAAGCCACTCAAAACGTAAGTCTGTGAGCTTCAGGAAATCGTCCTTCTTGGATAATTGGTTAGTTCATTTTGCTTCTTAGGTTTTCACTCGTTAAGAATGTTATTGCTTTCAGCGGCATGTTCCAAATTCCGAAACAACCAAACGAAGCGACCGAAACGAGAGATAACCACCAAAACGATCAGTAGAAAACCGCCGAAACGGGCGAAACGAGCGAAACGAAACGAAATCAACGAAGCTCGAGAGCTAACGGTAAACAGGCTAACCTGATCATTATTCAGGCTTAAATTAATAAATCTGAGCGCACTGCAGGCTAACTGGCGTGAAAATCTACGGGTTGGTTCGCAGTCTTCTTGCACTTTTGTTAGCCATGTATATATGCTTATGGACTGAAGGTTAGTTGAGTGAGGCACCTTCACCGCTTTCCTCTTTCCAAAAATTTCGAGATATAAGGAAAGTAAAGGAAATTATTTACTGCAAAGGAAACAATTAGGGTATAACGACATTGCACATCTTTCTGAATTGAACTATATTGTTCTGTTCTGAGTTGTAAGTTTCTTTTAAGTGTGGGGTAATACACTGTGAGGAAACATGACGGAAACTTCTAAGGCGAAATTGAAATTGTCGAGAAAAACAATCCCTTCTAGTTTTTATGCCTGGGGTTTTTCCCTTGACCCGCGGATCATTTTTTTGAATACGTTGTTTGTATTGAACACAAACACCAGATCACTTCAGATGTTAACATGATGAGAATAAAAGAACCTACACTTACACCAAATTTCGCGCTTTTAGCCCAAAGTGCACAATTCATCTAATATTCTGCACATAACCGCCTGATTCTTTAGATGCCATCGAAATTATTGATATTGCATGGTGAAGCGAAATTTTATTGCTTTACTATAAGCTGTGTTCCTGAAAGTATGTTTAATTATCTTTAGTAGTTTGACAGTGATTCCTTCGTTTGTTCATGAGAATGAAGTGCTTTGAAAATTCTGAAGCTTAAAGTGATTTTTCCTGTTTCTTCGTTCTTTTTCTGCTGTGCACAGATACGAAGCAGTTACCTAAAAATGTTCTTCTCAAAGCGTTCGAGTCGTCATAACAATCTTGTTCAAGAAATAAAACTCATTACACAGCAAAAATAGATTGTTTTGTAATACGCGACTTGTATCTTCTCATTTCAGTTCTCGCTATTTTATAGCTGGTCTTACTCTAATTATAAAGCTTAAACACTCCACAAAACTTTTCCATGTATTCTAATTGGAGACAAATTTAATTTTAGAGAGTCAGGCAGAGTATTCACAGGACCCCGGCCATCCCGGCTAAACACAATGGACGTAAGTAGTACAGGTAGGTAAAACAGTAAATCGTGTTATGCTTGGCCGTAAACCCTACACTGTTTGATTGCCAGGTTCTTCTCGCATATTCTGGTAGCTCTAATGCAATGGAAGATGATGATCACTTCTTCATATCTTCATAAGTTGACAAACGAAAACAAGGAATATATATTCTTATTGTTATGAAGTTTAAACGAGCCGTTACTCCCAGACGGCGCATCGCCAAATATTTATTTTCCTTGTGTTTGTGTTTATTGAAGTGTCACTGTCAGAGAAAACCGGGCAGAACCAAAAGATCGAGGTCGGCCGTTTACTTTCATCTTTTGCCAGTATAAAAGCTATCCGAAAAGATTAACAACCGTGGCATTTGCCGAAGTCTGCGATCGTTTTTCTTCGAGATATCTCTACTCTCAAGCGGTCTTAAAGGGCCGAAACCTAGGGCAACTTTAGGTGAGCCTAAAAGATACTTCGTACAAATTCCAGAAACTCTTAGTTTCGTGCGATGATATTTGTTCCCTTATATACTTGACCGAGATATACTGGAGGTCTTTCGCATTATTTCTACGGTCGCCATAAGGTGCTAAATATCATCGCCGAATCGCTAATGAGCGTGACCCAAATTCTAGCCATTTTCAGCGAGCTGTTTCTCAAATGTGGGGCAGTTTATTTCCACAGAGGGAAAAACATTTTTTTGATAGTCTTTTACACTATTATCAATATCCAGTTTAGTTAAAATTGGTATCAACAAGCAAATCGGAGTAATTGGTCTCGCTAAGTCCAAAAAAAGACATCAGTCAGAAATATTTCCTGCCAAATGTTAAGCGGGGAATATCACTTTATTCCGACCTTCTGCGATTGTTATCCAAGATTTACCGAAAGATCTGGTTAAATTATTCATTTGAACTGCAGGATAGAATATTTGAGCTGTAACATCGTTATTGACCAATGTAAATATTTCAAACTCGCCATATCGCTGGCATGAGTTTTCCCGCGAAAATTTTATTTTTAACGTCACGCTACATGGAAAAACAAACTGGATCCTCAGTTCGCGGGTCATTTTTGCTGTCGTGAAAAACAAACTGCAAGTTAATAGTGAGCGAGACTTAACCCTAAATTTAATTTTGGAACTTCTGCAAATCCTTTGTTTACATCATTTCTTGTTTTTGGAAGGCGTGACGCGTCACAAATTCAAAAGTCAGATGACAGAAGTTCACACTGTTGATCTTTTTTCTAGTCTGTTCTTGGTTTTGAAAACATTAACTGTTCTTTCGGATCAGAAAAAAATCGGCAAGCAGTGCGGTCTGCGAGTCAAATTTTCTTCAGTTATTAGCGTGCGAACGATTTTGGTCGAGGAAAGACATCAGAGGTGTTGACGATCTGGTGCAGCTGAATGTAAACAATAAGGAAATACGGCCGACGAAAACGTCATAATTAAAGGACAGATGACTGGAACAAACATCCCAATACGTGTAATAGTTGCTATATGATTCTTGCGTTCAATGTTGCCGTTTGTATCGTTGCAGGTCAGTACACAGTGTTGTTGTTTTGCGCTTTATTACCTTTCTAGTTTTACATAACCCGCGTCCCAGACGAAAATTTAACTCTGTAACTGCAAGTCGCTACACATTATACATTTTGTTGTTCATTCTGATAATAAACCTCCATGTAATGTCCCTAGTACGTGTATTATACGCAACAAAACCAATTTAATGGTGCTCTTCTCATTATTCACCACCCCTTTCAGTGCAACGAAATATAACTGATAATTTCTTGCCAATGTTACTACTGTTATTGACCACTATTTGAGAGTTAATAAAGAACGAAATTGAATTACAGTTTGTGCGCAATGGGGTTATTCTGGAGATTAATTGAGACAATTTTGATGTGCTCACATCCCCACACCTGTACTAAAGTCCTGTATTGAGCCTCTTATTCCAGTGATTACGAAAATAATTAACATCTCGTTGGAGTCAGGAATTTTGTCTGTAAGCTGGAAAGAGGCTTTGGTTATGAAGTACCCCGTTGAAGTTCCCATTGTCATATTTACACACAAACACCCTGCCAAAATGTAGTTGAATCCTAATAACTGGGATAGTAGCTCAAGAATATCTACAGAACAACATAGTTTAACAAATACTCCGCTGTTTTGAATTTCAAAACTAAAACGAAGTAATGAAATTACCGAAAAAAAAAAGTACCGAAATTCTTCAGACAGTAGTGCTTTTCCTTTCTAGCCCCTTCAAGGAGGGTGCAGAGATGGAACTCTTATGCCGAGAAGAGGTACTTCGACATTAAATAGTGGCAACGTGAAGTCNCTTGCCCCGCTCACCCCACCCCCATCCATACCCTGCTTGCAAGGGGATGGAAGAAAAATCTGCTGTCTTAGACGATATTTCAATTTCATTTAGTTTTTCACAGGTACCAGTTAATCAATTACATAAATTTGTTTTTATGTTTGATATTTACATTGAGTATGTGTGTGTTTTTTTATAATTTGGTTTTCTGTGGATATTCTTAGGCAACTACCGAAATTATTTTCTTTTTGCTTGTCACGAATCACAGGCATCAAAGTCATACTGGCAAGCTTAATCATATCCTTTATGCTTTGTGAATTTTTTCATCTGAGTTGTATCTGTTTCCAGTGCAATATCTTATTGCAACCAATTTTTATAAGAGACCGTTGAATCGGAACAAAAATATCTTAAGCTTCATAGCAAGTGGTCGTAAGTACATTGCATGCACGAGGTACAGTGGAACCCCGTTAATACGGTAACCAACGGGCCACGCATGAAATTTGGCCGTGATAACAGGGTGGCCATATTAACGGAGTAGGATCAAACCTCGTGACTCGTCTAAATTGAGTGGCGTCTTAACAGATATATCACACATGATCACAATTGTACTTCTAAGAAACTGTTCATCAATAAGCATCGGGAATGCAGATATGATTAAGATAGATATAAAACTGA